TCACTGCGCGTTGTCTTATAAAAGGTATTTTGAAAATACCTCCAATGTTGTTGAAATTCTCCGATGACAGTTTCCCCAATCCCCAAGCAACCGTGCAGCGGTGCTGCGGTACAGCGGTACGGGCGCAGCAAAGATAAAAACATGTGACGTCACGTCACCACTTCGAGGCTATTTTGTTTGGCAAACAGTCGGCGTTTGCGCCAGAATGCCAGTTTTCTCACCTCTTTCTTGTGGGTTTTAAGCAAACGCGCAGTGAAATGGGAGCAACTAGAGTTTATTTTGTTATAAGGTAGTGTGATTATGCATGACACGAAGTACTTGCTAGTCTAGTACTGGAGAAATTAGCGTTTGGATGCGCATTGTGAGCCTTTAATACATTCAAGTATATAGATCTTCAGTTAATCAATTCTTCGTTCTGTATTGCTGAAATGCAAATTGACTTATAGGTCTGAGCAATATAGCAATACCCTCTTGGATATTTTGCTTGGTTGGTCAGGGGTCGAAATTATATTTTTATTATGGTATCCATTTGGGATACCAGGTATTGAAATCTGATATCCCCCCCAAAGATCTGGTATCGCATTTTTTGGATAGGAATTTCAACAATGTTGGTATCCAAAATCTTGAAATATGCAATAATAGCATTTGAAAATTCTTAATATGTAATGTAATTATTATATAAGCTGCGTTCACACGAGATACACGGCCTCGCTGGTTCCGTACTTATCTGGTGCTGAATTCGGCTGAAATACCGTGCTAACACAACCCGGAGTGTTCACACGAGAATCGAGGCTTAGCAAGCTAGGTATAATATAGAGTGGTACCCGGTCGACAGTTCCACACGCTACACTAACGTCGTGTAGCGAACGGGTACCAGTCTAGGTAAGCGCACTACAGTTTCGCAATTCGAAATTGCGTTCACACGACAGACAATACGCGGCCAGCGTGGTGCCGAATGTTTCAGCGCGGAATCACATTCCGCGCCGAGTAAGCCTCGTATTTCAGTACGGTACATTTTTTACGTATATTTAAGCCGCGTATATTTTTACCGTGTGAAAGCTCAAGTACGGTACTGAAATCCTCGTGTGAACGCAGCAATAAAAACATGAAAACAGATTCACAGATATGCACAGACAAGTACACTGCAGACGTATTGTCTAGACGCATTGTCTGGTTCGCTTGATACAATGTATACACATCACATTTATGATCAACTATCAGGCTACGCTTACCGCTTGTGCTTGCAAATATGCTCAACAACCACTATCCCGATTTTGACGTGTGTTTTTAGCTCATCTGACATAGTCAGATGCAGCTTGTAGAATCGCATGAGCGTGCGTCCGTGCGTGTGTCCGTGCGTCTGTCCGTCAACAGTTGGGCACAAATCTTAACCGCTTGACGTACGGTCACGATATTCGGGACGTGGGGTGGGTGGGGGGT